AGTACCTTTAAAATATATCTGGAATCAGGCCACTTACTACCATCACCCACACACATACCCTGCTTTCCTCTCATGCCTGGACTCCAGTATCAGCTCCCACTCTAGCCCCACTCCAGTTCTCTCTCCACACTCCAGATTTGCCTTATACAGCATAAACAAAAAATGCATTCCGGCCCTGGCCAGGTAGCTCGGTTGGTTAGAACATCATCCCCATAAGCCAGGGTTGTAAGTGTGTCTTCCTTGTTTGTTTGTTTGTTAATCTTCACCTGAGGGTATTTTTCCATTGATTTTTAGAGACAGTGGAAGGGAGGGGGAGAAACAGAGAAACATCCATGTGAGAGAAACACATCAACTGGGTGCTTCCTGCACGCACCCTGGCACCCTGACCAGGGCCAGGGATAGAGCCCACAACCCAGGTATGTGCCCTTGACAGGGATTGAACCCAGGACCCTTCAGTCTTCGGTCCATGGGCCGATGCTCTATCCACTGAGGCAAACCGGCTAGGGCAGTGGTCAGCAAACTCATTAGTCAACAGAGCCAAATATCAACAGTACAATCATTGAAATTTCTTTTGAGAGCCAAAATTTTTAAACTTAAACTATATAGATAGGTACATTGTTATTAACTTAATTAGGGTCCTAAGGCTTAGGAAGAGCCACACTCAAGGGGCCAAAGAGCCACATGTGGCTTGCGAGCCGCAGTTTGCCGACCACGGGGCTAGGGCCAAGGTTGTGAGTTTGATCCCTGGTTAGGGCACATATAAGAATCAACCAATGAATGCATGGATGAGTGGAACAACAAATCAATCTCTCTCACTCTCTCAAATCAGTCCATAAAATATTTTTAAATAAATAAATAAAATAAAATAAAAGTGCATTCCAGTTTAAAAAATAATTTGGAGGGAGCAAATAATTTAAAATCACCTAAAGTTGAATAGGGGAATGTTACTAAAGAATACTAGGCCAGAGCTCAACACTTTCTCCTCCTCTTAAAAATCATAGGAAGCCCTAGCCGGTTTGGCTCAGTGGATAGAGCGTTGGCCTGCAGATTCATGGGTCCCAGGTTCGATTCCGGTCAAGGGCAGGTACCTTGGTTGCAGGCATATCCCCAGTAGGGAGTGTGCAGGAGGCAGCTGATCCATGTTTCTCTCTCATCGATGTTTCTAACTCTCTATCCCTCTCCCTTCCTCTCTGTAAAAAATCAATAAAATATATTTTTTAAAAAGTCATAGGAAGCCCTAGCCAGTTTGGCTCAGTGGATAGAGCATCGGCCGGACTAAAAGGCCCCAGGTTCGATTCCGGTCAAGGACACATGCCCGGGGTTGCGGGCTCGATCCCCAGTGGGGGGCGTGCAGGAGGCAGCCGATCAATGATTCTCTCTCATCATTGATGTTTCTATCTCCCTCTCCCTCTCCCTTCCACTCTGAAATCAATAAAAATAAATTTTTTTAAAAATCGTAGGAAAATGTTTTAAATTGCACTGCACACTATGGTAAACAGAAGAGACTGCTATGGTAAAAGCAATCAGCTGGGTACCCCTGGCCATCCCGGGGCCTCCTGGCTGCCCCTAGGGCTGAAGGAATCACTGTCAGGCACCCCCATTTACAAAGCCCACTGTGCCACAAAACAGTTAAAAAGTAGGAGGCGGCAACATGTGGCAGACCTGGGTGGTTGCCTACCCAACAGCCATTTCTCCCCGTCCTTCCATCTCAGCTGGATCTTACTCCGACAGGCACTGTCTTTAAAGGCGGCAGGCCCCAGCCCTAGTCCCAGCTCCCTCTCCAGAGTCATGATTGGTCTGAGCTAGCTTTGGTGGGTCCATTTCTCTCGCCAGTTTTAGGTTTAGTCATAGGCATCTGATAAAAGCCGGGTCAAAGAATAGGGTGAAAAGTCTACTTAGAGACTTGGGAAAGATTTTCATCACACTTTAAAAAAATAGACATTACAGCCAGGCCAGTGGCTCGGTGGTTGAGCTTCAACCTATGTGTTTGGTCCGGCCTGGGTTGCAGTTGATCCTGATTGGGGGGGGGGGGGGTAGGTGATTCTCTCTCATCATTGATCATTCTGTCTCTCTCCCTCTCCCTTCCTCTCTGAAATAAATTACATATATCTATATATTTTTTAAGAGAGTTTTTAAAATATATGTTATTGATTTTTCACAGAGGGGAAGGGAGAGGGATAGAGAGTTGGAAACATCGATGAGAGAGAAACATCGATCAGCTGCCTCCTGCACACCCCCTATTGGGGATGTGCCCACAACCAAGGTACATGCCCTTAGCTGGAATCGAACCTGGGACCTTTCAGTCCGCAGGCCGACGCTCCATCCACTGAGCCAAACCAGTTAGGGCTATCTATATGTTTTTTAAGAGAGACATTGCAGAAAAACATTTCCTCGTCTGCTACTAGATACTGTCATATCTGTGTGGCATTCCCAGAATTGTGGAGCTGTGAGGGGAGTTAACTAAATGGTGGAATGTAAGAGGGGAAAGTGTAGGGGACCTGTTCCTTGATAGCATCGTTGAGGCATTAAATTAACCAATCCTGGAAAACCCACTGTGGAATGATCAATGATTCTTATCATTGATGCTTCTCTCTCTCTCTTTCCCTCGCCTTTCCTCTGAAATTAATAAAAATATTTTTTCTAAAAATTTTTAAATATATTTTTTATTTCAGAGAGGAAAGAAGAGGGAGAGAGAGATAGAAACATCAATGATGAGAGAGAATCATTGATCTGCTGCCTCCTGCACACCTCCGACTGGGGATGGAGCCCGCAACCCGGCCCGGCAACCCGGCATGTGCCCTTGTCCAGATTCGAACCTGGGACCCTTCAGTCCGCAGGCCAAAGCTCTATCCACCAAGCCAAACCGGCTAGGGCTAAAAATATATTTTAAAAAACTTAAAAAAAAATAAAAAACCCACCGTGGATCAAGGTCTTTAACACGCGTTATCTCCTCGCACTCCCACATGCCTCCTCTGACAGCAGATATAATATCCCTTTGTTGAGGAGGAGCAAATTGGAGCTATGAAAACTGAAGTCACTGGCCCCGGGGACAAGGCTGAGATGTGAAGCTCTCAGATTGCAACGCGGGTCTCCCCGACTCCACGTCCGCCTTTCCTTTCACTGAAGTGGGAAAGGTCACGGACGCACCCAGAAATGTACAGATACGCAGAAGAAAGACAAACCTGACAAAAACATCATGCTAAACCCGTCCCCTCCATCCCCCAAAGGTTATCAACGTTTCCAAAACACCGGTTGAAATGGACGAAAGAGGAAGATCCTGCCCAGTGCTGACTTCAGCCCCGAATCTGTGTTAAGATTGTTTCCTGGAGTCGGATGCAACTAGTCCTTGGTCCACAACGTCAGACACAAGGCGGTTCAATAAATAAATATGAGCCACCTGTTTATAATTAGGAGCCCCCATTACCTCTGCCGCTGGGCCGCATAATTTATCCCCATGTCCACGCCGCTCTGCCCCGGAAAAGGGTAAAGGCAGCATTTTGTTTTGGACGATTCCACGTGGCACGGCTCGCGCTGCGCTTAGAACGGGCCTGGGCGCTGCGCTCCGGCGCCCAGTGTATCATCCTTATCATGCATGGGCCCGAGATCCTTTTTTAAAGTGATGCCGTATAACTTACTTGAAAAATATTACTATGAAAAAATAAGGACGGGTGGATAGAGGGGTCGTGTGCTAGGGGTGCAGTGCAGTAAAATTTAATGCCAGACACTTAAAACAGTCCAAAGGCAAAACGTTCGCAGTAAGATGCAACTTTCTGTGTTTGAAATGTTCCTGACCCAGCGCGGGAAAACCAGCGCGTGGCGGTCCGCTTCCGCTGCGGGGGGCGGGAGGCTGAGTTTCGCTCCGTCGGAATGGAAAAGGATCCCCCGCCTGCCCCGCTTTCGGGGAGCGCGCACGGAGTGACTTCGCCGGGGGCCGCCTGGGGAAACCCCGAATCTC